TGGCATTAACTTGCAATGCCTTTATTTAGGTAGCTTTACAAAAGCTAAATAATTGGAAAAGTTGCTACGTTTTGAAATTTAAAAGCACCTGCCATGGATCCATAATATGCATTACCTTGTTGTCAAGCTTTGCAAGAGTTGTTACAATACAGTGGATCCATTCAAGTCAGTGCAGCTACAGCAATTTACACCAGCTAGAATCTGGGCTTTTCTGATTCTCCTTAGGACTAATAGGGGAAATACAGTTAAATTTATTAGAGGCACCAGATTCTTAGCAGCTGTAAATTGGTATAATTCCTTTGAATTCAATGGAGCTTCAGAACTTGAGCTGAGAATCTGACCCTGGACCCATACCCATATAGTGGAACTCTATATAGTCTCCAAAGGAAGCAAAGGGTTAAGAGAAATATAAATTAAAATATGTTATTTATTTTGGTTAAGCAAAAATATAACTGTATTTTAACAGGGTTTATGATGTGATATTATCTTTTAAGGGATGTCAGACCTTAGAGCAAATCAGGTTTTCCCCATCTATTGTTTTTTTTTACTTGCAAGCAACTAATAGCTAGACACTCTTGATACAACTATTCAATTACAGCAATTTTCAAGAAAGTAAATCGTGCATAGATTCACTAGGAGACCTGAGGATGGGATCCACTAATGTAGTTTTCTGGATGAGGACCTACACAAGGCTTATACATTATTTAAGTCCCCATTTAAGCCTTATTTTCAGGTTTTAAGTAGTACAGAGATCTCTTGCTGGCCCTCTAGATGGGGAGAACTTCATTTACAATGAATATCTCAGCATCACCTTGATGATCTCAATGTGTGTGTGGGGGGGCGGAGGAAACGTATTAAAAACATTTCAAACGTCTGTAACCGCTGAACCATTTTAATGTCTTAAAAACGTAAGAATGATGAATAGCCTATGTAGACATTGACTCTGCTGGTCTAGAGTAGATCTATATTTTAAAATTCTCTAACACTCACAAATGAATTAAAATGTCCAAATAGTATATCCATTTGTATATAGAAGAGATGAACAGAAGTATAATGAATCTTTTGTTTTATCATATGAAGAACTTGTTGTATCTCTAAATAAGTTTAATTATATTTTAAATTCAATATTTGATATGGTTTCAAGAACTATTTAGTTATACTTAATAAATAGAAGGGCCAGCCAGATTCTTTAGAAATGGGACTTTATCAGCTGGCATATTTACAAATCAAAGTTCAGTGCAAGTTGGGCAGCTAAAGTGTTGATATCAATGGTTTTATAACGATTAGAGCTTTCTGAGCTATGATACACCACAGTCTCCTTCTGCCACTAATTGCCCCGGATACTTCATGTAAGATAAGGCTCAATAATATCAGCTACTAAAGTATTATACTTCCCTCTGACTCACAAGACTTTTATGATAGGCATTTTAGCTGGCTGCTAGCTTTGCTTTTCAAAGTGGATCTTAGCCGCTTATTGGCTTAAGCCCTGGGCTCTGTCACTATGATAATTGGCCGCAAAGCAAGAAAAATCGAAGGCGTGTCTTGAGAAGCGGGAATGGTCAAAAGAAAAACACTGTTAAAGTAAGTGAATTGTGGGACCAGTTAGCTGCCATATCTCACACGCCTGCTAACCAATTTTTAAACCTCCTTGGAAGGCAATACACAAAACGTGATTTAGAACGGAATGTGGCCCCGATGCAGGATAGCACTTAAGCATATGCTTCAACTGAAGAATTTGTTTAAATGTGTTTCTGAACTGGGATGCTTTCCTGAATTGGGGCCTATGTTTGCAGTGTATATGCAACAATAGATATAACATATTCCTATTCTATATTTTGGTTATATCTATATATAGAACTATATAGGCTATATGTGTATATTATATATATATAATAGGAATTTTATTGTATATCTAATAGATAGATATAGATTATATAGATATAAATTAGATATATAATAGGATACTAGTAGCTGGAAGCCATCTAATTTGTAAAGTCATGGATGTAAAAAGCTGAAAACGGCTGCAAACTTAAAAATTTGCAAAATCCCAGTGATGACTGAAGCTGGTGATATTCTAAATCAAAAGAGATCTCAACCATACTTGTAGTTATTTCCATCACTTCACACTGTCTCAACAGACGTTCTAGGTTCAGAGTGATTTGGGGGGATATGGTGCAGATGGTTGTGTTGTGCTGGGAGAGTTGTGTGGATTTGTGCGGGTGGTGAATGAGGGGTGTGTGCTGCTGGGAGGGGCTATGTGGGTTTGGGGATACTGTGTGTGTTGGTTGTGTTGATTTGTGTCTGGGGGGGGTGCTGAAAGATTTGTGTTGATTTGTGCGAACAACAGCTGAGCGCATGGGTAAAACAGTTGGGTCAAATAATCCACCATCTGTGCAGTCTCCTTCATACAGTCAATGAAATTGTGCATGTAAATTAGCTGCAGAGGGAGAGTAGTGAATGCTTGTGTTCATTCTGTTATTACAGTGACTTGTGGCTCTTGGTATGGCATAGCTACATGCCTTCCTATAGCTGTTCACCGCATGGGTGTAATTCATAAAGTCAAAATGGCTGAGAACTTAAAAAAGTGGAAAGAAACAGACGGTGAAACCCAGGGATGATCCAACCTGGTGATATTCTGAACAAAAAGAATTCTTTATCATGCCTGTAGCTCTTTCCATTGCTTCACAGTGACTCAACAGATGTTCCAGGCCAGGGATTCTCAACTTCATGGCACTGTGATCCTCTTCTGACAACAAAAATTACTACACGACCCCAGGAGGGGGGACTGAAGCCTGAGCCCACCCAAACCCCACCGCCTCGGGTTGGGGGGGAGGCACAGCTGCCCCAGGGCTTCTGCCCTGGGCAGGGCACATGTAACCTTAGCCCACCTGCCCAGGGCTGAAGCTTTGGCCCTGTGTGGTGGGGCTCGGGCTTCGGCCCTAGAACCCAGCAAGTCTAATACCAGCCGTGGCGGCCCCATTAAAATGGGGTCACGACCCACTTTGGGGTCCTGACCCACAGTTTGAAAACCCCTGTTCTAGACTTCAGAGTGACATTCCTGGAATCATACAGATTATGCCTATTATATATTTTCATAGATTCATAGATTCTAAGGCCAGAAAGGACCATTATGATCATCTGACCTCCTGTATAACATAGGCCATAGAACTTCCCCAGCATAATTCCATATCTTTCAGAAAAACGTCCAATCTTGATCTAAAAATGGTCAGTCATGGAGAATATACCACAACCCTAGGCAAATTGTTCCAATGGTTAATTATTCTCACCATTAAAAATGTACACCTTTTATTTCCAATCTAAATTTTTCTAGCTTGAGTTTCCAGCCATTGGATCATGTTATACCTTTCTCTGGTACATTGAAGAGCCCATTATTAAAGACTTGTTCCCTGTGTGGGTACTTTGTAATCAAGTCACCCTTAACCTTCTCTTTGTTAAACTAAATAGATAGATCTCCTTGAGTCTATTACTATAAGGCAGGTTTTCTAATCTTTTAATCATTCCCATGGCTCTTCTCTGAGCTTTCTCCAATTTCTCATGCTTCTTCAATGTTGGGCACCAGAACAGGACATAGCATTCCAGCGGCAGTTGCGCCAGTGCCAAATACAGAGGTAAAATAACCTTTTTACTCTTGTTTGAGATTCCCCTGTTTATGCATCCCAGGATCGCATTAGCCCTTTTGGCCACAGTCTTACAGTGGGAGATCCTGTTCAGTGGTTATCCACCATGATACCCAAATCTTTTTCAGAGTTGAACAAAGTGGGCCTGATTCCTCTCTCGCACTTTCTCTGAAATAGCTCCCTTGCAGTCAATGGGATTAAACCTGTGTAAGAATAATGCAAGTGAGAGGAGCAGCAGGCCCAGTAAAATAAACCATCTTTTGCATGCTGTACCCACTAGGTACCTGAAGAAACCAATATTTCAGATTATGAGAAAAGTAGATCATAGTTAAGGGCCCAGTCCGAAGCTCATTGAAGTCAGTGAAATGAATTACATGAGATTTATAGATCATTTTATGAATCACAGCTTTTTGTTACTTCCATTCCATTCCTGTGTTTGTATTTTATCTGCTTAGACTGTAAACTCTTCAGGGCAGGGGCCTTGTCTTCAGACCTGTCTGTAAAATGCCTAGAACTCTGTTGGTACTTTCTCATTGTTGGTTTATATGTGTGTGCCTATATATATGAAAAAGAAACCGTGCCAGAGTTCTGCTAATATCCAGGCCCTTAATGAACACAGCATAATTCTGCAACAATTGTTGATATTAAAGGTAGGGCATATTGTACTATATAATGGTGGTCATTTTTCATGAGTAGCCATGTCCTCACAGGCTTTAAATATGAGTGGACTGATATCACAGTTTATTTATTTAATAGAATCCGTTCACTATACGCTGAATCTGATGTAACACACCAGACGGCTCAGATTACTAACAGTCCTAGTCTTGGGGCAAGGGGATGGAGGTTTTGTTTTGGTGGGTGAGGGGGTAATAGCTGGGTCTGGCTTTACTGCCAAGTCTGAAGTATTCTGCCCATGTTTTTCATACATATATTTTAAAAAGAATTTTCTTTAAAATGTACAAATATTGGGCCCAATCCTGTGGCATCTCTGCAGGTGATTGTAGCCAAATGGGAGTTCTGCATGCAGACCTGCTCATTTCATTTTAGCTTGCCCTGATGCTATGCAGATTACCTTGCTGAGGAGCAATCCCAGGGCTTCTGTTCCATGAGTTGCTGGAGAATGAGTGCATTGCCAGCGTGACATGTATGATACATAAGAAACACAAGTCCGGAGGCAGACTGCACCTTTCTAGTACCAAGGAGCAGCATTAACTCTGAGCGCAGGAGAACCTGTTCTAGGAGGCAAAGAGAGTCATATTGACAGGGCAATCTGCAAAGAAAGGATTTTCCTAGATGGCGATTATGGCCTTGCACTGGTATAGGGGTGAAGGAAAATAAATGTCACCAAAATATATTTCTCAGCTTCTGCTTCAGAGCATCAGCAGCAACCACGACCCTATCAAGGTGTCCGTGTCAAAGAACCGGTGAAGGAGCTACTGAAGAGGAAACGTGGGAACATCGTTCATAGTGTTAATGCAGCTGCAGCGACAACGGTAAGAAAAAACACAGAATGCCTGAGGAAAGCTCTTCCTTTCTGACTGAATAGGCACCCAGCCCGTCTCCATCATGTGCTCCCATCGATTTTAGTGGAAGTTGAAAGAACTCAGTACCTTGCAGAATCAAGCCCTTAGACAGGAACAAAAGGAGGCAGAGCAGTTAAGTGACTTGCTCAAGGCCACAAATGAGTTCAGTTTCAGAACCAGGACTAAAACTCAGTCGAGTGGTGCCCAGTCCAGTGCTTAGATCACGTATCTTTCTAGTGCTCATTTATCAAGACAGCAGGTTACACTAGCATAGCCGGCTCGTTCAAGATCATGAAACTCAGCAATGCTGAAGTTATCAAAGGAGAGAGTTAGGTGTCCAACTCCCATTGGGTTTCAGTGGGATTTGAGCACCTATCTCCTTTAGGATTCTTTGAAAATCCCAGCTTAAAATACCAAAATCAGCAAAACAAGTCACAGGATTCAGGATGGTTGCCTTATGCAGATGTACTTTGTATCATCTGGGATACAGAAATGTCTAATTCTTAAAAATCCACTAAAACTTTGCAGAGCTATTTCCCCATGGAGTCTAATTTCCTATTTTGTAGTGTGCTGAAAACACTCTGTTATACAGGTGACCTGTTGTGTATATACTGTTCCAGACAAAACATGCAGAGCAACCTTAAAAGCTACCGAAGCTGTCCAAAAAAGCTCTCTGGCCCCTCATTTCCTATACTTAGGCTAGATCCATTTATTCTGGTATTTAAACTCCTGGAGGGAAGCAGTTTGACTGTATCTTCACTAACAATGAAATTCACTCTGAGCAGTGGAGCCACACAAGGTCTCATGTATCATTTAAATCCCACTTAAGCTTCAGTGGAGCACGGATCTTGTGCTGACGCACTGCAGAGGGGTGAATTTCACCCTGAAATAGTTTTCAATAACTGCTCTTATACCGGTATAACACAGGCACATGGTACCTTCATCTAAGAGGCAATGGATGATAATATATTTATTGCTACTTCTGCTCTGAGCAAGAGTTTCTCAAGATATGCTGAGTTTAAATCTTTCAGGAATAACTCATATCTGAATATTCTTCTTTGTTCTCTAGGTTGTTTTGCCCCATCAGCCACTTCCGTCCTATTCACCAATTGGTAATGCTTCCAAACATTTATTTTCATTTGTTCGTCAGCTTGGTTTCAGCCCATGCTTTGGCTGACATTTGGTACAATTCTCTTCTTGTTTTGCAGGCCAGCCTTGCATTGATATGGATGTTACTGCCTCTTCATTGCCAGTTACCGACGAAGGGGCATTATGTTCCGGTTGGCTCTCTCAGCCGTCTCCTGCTACCCTACAGCCCTTAACCCAGTGGACAACTTACCCAGATTATATGTCACATGAAGCAGTCAGCTGTCCATACACAGCAGACATGTATGTTCAGCCTATGTGTCCCAGTTATACACTTGTTGGACCCTCTTCAGTTCTGACTTACGCATCCCAGCCGCTGATCACCAATTTTGCGGTAAGCTAAAGATACCTAGAAATGAAGGCAAATCTGCTTTCCAGTAGGCGTTATGAGAAGCCACATTTATCTAAATTTATCTTTATACTATGTATTGCTTGACATCCCTGCCTCACATTATATTGTCAAGGATGATGTCCGCAGTAAAAAGTTATACAAGTGATGCTGAAAAATCAGAAGTAGTTTCCTCTGCCATAATTGCATATGCAAGGAGAACAGTCCTGAGAAGTGAGATTGAGTAGAGAAACATGCCTTAGTGACCCTCTCTATAATGGTCATGCAACTGTCTCTTCTTGGTGTGAGTCTCTCGTATGGTATTCTATGTGAGCTACAAATTCCTGTTAGTAACCTAACTGTCTAATGTGATGGCCTGATTTATTCTCTGCCTGGGCCTGGAAATTAGGGGGATTGTTCTGAGAATTACTGTAGTTTGAGAGAGATTAAAAGATTTGACTATATTGAAGTCAGAGTGAATCCAATCTTCTTAACAAAGCTTGCCTGTTCCATGCTCTCTCAAACCCTCCAGCACTCACCACCTAATTAACTCATGAACCATTCTGCATTGTTCTCATGAGACCTTCTCCAGCTCCCATTGAAGTCAGTGGTAAGACTGCCATAGACTTCAGTGAGAGCTGGATCAGGCCAATGGGCAGATTTTATCTTAGGAGAGTATTGTCTGCAGCTAAGGAAAAATAATGCAGAGCAATAAAGTCATGTTGCCATCAGCTCCAACTTAACAAGGAATCCTGCAGCTTTGATTCATGGTGCTCATGAAGTTTCAGTTAGAGTGGATCATAAATTATAATCTTCTGTCTAGATGCATAGAATATCAGATATCAAATATACAATAGGCTCTGTTGTTTGGACAAACAGCTAGGACAAAACTGCACTTGAGAATCTGAGTGTTTCAGATGCTGTTTCTGAGTTTATTTCAATACAGTTTTTTCAGTAAGGGTGTGGTTTGGGGTTTTTTAAATAAGGCTTCCAGGGAACTTGTTTTCACTGGGAAATCTTATGATGTTTAAACATGATCTTGACTTAGCTGACATGATGCTGACCATGAGTGACTGGTGGTCAATGTAGACAAGGACATGTTCAGCATCATGTCAGCTTACCCTGACACATTCCATCTGTGTTGAAACATTATCAGAGAGCCACAGATGAGGCTTGACAAAGCCCTGGCTGGAATGATTTAATTGGGGATTGGTCCTGCTTTGAGCAGGGGGTTGGACTAGATGACCTCTTGAGGTCCCTTCCAACCCTGATATTCTATGATTCTATGATAGCAGGTCCAAATACAATTTATAATAATCTTGAAAGGATGCCTTGCATGCTTACAAAAGTGGAGGCAGGAGGGAGACCGGAAAGGTGACGGGAATGTGATATGTACGAGTAAAACTTTGAGATTGCATTTGCTGGCTTGCTGGCAGCTGGGGTTTTAACCAAGTTAAACCAAGTTTTAACCAAGTTGCATCCTTCTTTCTGGTGAGCTGGTGAAAATTTTCTTATTGAACATGAAACTTTATGGAGCCAGGAAAAGCTGTTTTAACTGTGATAGTGAGTATGGAGCCAGGAAAAGCTGTTTTAACTGTGATAGTGAGTATCCTTATTCTGATATCTTTGTACTTAACAGCCAAGAAGCACCACTCCAGCTGTTGTGCCGCAGCTGGAGGTGACAGACCCGCAGTCTCCTCTTACCTATTTCCCATGGGCTCAGCCCATTTCTGCATTACCCACATCTACCCTGCAGTATCAGCCGGCTTCCTCCTCGCTTCCTGGGCCACAGTTCGTTCCACTTCCCATTTCAATTCCCGAGCCAGCCCCACAGGAACTCGAGGATGCAAGAAGAGTGATCAGCACTCTGCCCATTGAAAAGCTACTGCTAGAAGATGAAGACAATGATACGTATGTTTTAAATCACACTCTCTCTGTTGAAGGGCTTTAAAGTAATGTATATGGGGCCTGATCCTACATTTCTTGTTCACCCAAAACTCCAAGTGAAATCAACGAGAGTTTTGAGTGTACAAGAAAAACAGGTTTGGGCTATTTATTTTCCTAAGATTTTTTGTTGTCAACCACCACTAATGTTCCCTGAATATGAGATTTGCACTCAGGGTGAAATTGACCTGTGCGCACAGGACTAGCATGAGACTCATGTACTGCTAAAGTCACTTTTAGTCCTTCCTAGTGGAAATATTGCAGTGCATGGTTCTTGTGCTGGACCTCTGCAAGGAGTAAATTTCACCCTCATATGTGGAACATGGGCTCAAACTGACATGGTTTTTAGTAACATATTTGCTAACCCTGTAGTGTCTGACTGTAGCATTTGGATACACGTATCTTAAGGGCGTCTTAGAGGGTTTACTTTACAAGCCATATTTTCTTGAGCTATGTGTAACGGTCACACAGCTATATCTTTGCTTTGTTCAGCTAGAGGAAACTACCCCAATACCGGTGCTTAATAAATCTTTTTGAAAAAGGCCAGCTTAAGTGTGGGGCCTGAAATGAGATGGTCCTTTAATTGATAACACCGTTGAAAAATGTCATTGTATGATTATGAATATTTTTATTCCTGTGGTAGCACCAATTGTTAGCCAGTCTGAAGACCAGTAATATAAACAGAACTGGTGAGACATGTGCTAGTGTGAAAAGAGGTCACCAGCTACAGAGGAACACAAAATTACTTAGGCAAAGAATTGTACAGTTGCTTCTTAATTTCATTTTACTGATCATTCTTGCAAAATGTACAGATTTGTCCTCATGTCTCTAGCTCAGTGAGAGGGGCAATTGGACTGATGCATTTTTAGCATTCAGTATGTGAAATGTTCCCCTTTAAAACTGGTAGAGTCATATTTTATGGCTGCCGCATGATGTTGTGTATTGCACTGAGACAGAACCTGGTCCCAATGGGATTGCAAGATATGGCCCTAAGTCAGGAGATCATTGAGAAGACGGGGTCTTCCAAAATTCAGATGGGTGTGTGGCAATACTGGCAGCACCGTCATTCATTCTCTTGTTCTTGGGCCTTAGTTCAGTTTACAATCCTAAAATTGGAGACAGGCCATGTCAAATTAGAGACCTTTAACGTACCTTATCAACATTGAAAGTTTCTCTGTATTCCAGTCTTTTAGAGTCACAGGCATATGCAGCATCATTATTGCATTTTGTTTTTATTCACTGGAAAATGAATAGCATCTGCCCCCTCTAAAGCTATTGTAAATATCACTACTGGTATTCCATGGCATCATGCCACAGACAAAGGTATTTGCGTGAGGACATATCCATTTTTAACATTTGTTAACTGTTTTCTTAAGGCACAAGGGACTACTAGATGATGAACACAATTTCTCTGGGTTTTTCTGCTTCATAAAGCCCAGGAGCCTTAGATGACTATAGCATTTAGAAGTATTTTTGGAATGAATTTATTCAAAGGGTTGTTACCTTGCATTGGTTAACTACTTGGTGCCCACTCCTCCTCCTTCTACCCAGGCAATATTCCAAATAACTTTACAGTTTTTGCCTGAGTAAGGACTGCAAAATCGGGTCCAGTGTCTCTAAGACTTTCAAAGCAGGTTTCACTATTGACAAATCTAAAGGGTTTAAACAACAGATCATGCAAATGATCATAAAATTGTCTGAAAACTGCAGTAGCTTAGGCTTACTGGTATTAGTGGCTTAAATTTGCAGAAAAACCCAGCAAAGAAATTAATTAGATGAGGCTTGATCTACCACTGTGTTACTCCAGTTTTATGCTGGTAATATAGTGATACCAGCGTAACAGTGGAGTGGTGCAGTTGTGAATCAGGCCCGTGTTTGCCAAGATTTATTTGAAACTTTTTTTTTCATTTCACTGTATGTAAAATCTCCCAGTTGTATATAAAGTGATGATGTGATGTCTATGGATTTCTTTCTGGGTTGTTCTGTCAGATTAAAAAAAAAAAACAATGTTCAATAAAGATCTACAGTAACTTTCATATGCCTAGAGTGTTTTTTTCATACTCAGAGAGGTATCCCATGGCATTTGACACAATATAAACATACTGGCTTGGAAAGCAATAATATTAGTTTGATAGCACGGTTACGAGACTATAACCAGCGATTAATTACATGGCTTTGTGTTGATTTAATGTATGCTAAAAGAGACTCTTGTGAGCCAAATATGGGCTCAAAACCTTCCTCACTCAAGTAGTCCTTACTTATGCAACTGGTCCTGCGGTCACGTTGTTATTTATTTGTGTTACAGTAGGGCCTAGAGAGGCTTCAATTGAGAGTGAGGACACATTGTGCTAGACACTGCACAAACACATGCTAGGAGACAATCCCTACCCTGAAGAGCTTACAGTCTGAGTAGGCAAGACAGAGTGACTTGGCCAAGGTCACAGATCAGGTCAGTGGCAGAGCCAGGAATAGAACTGAGATCTCCTGACTCCCAGTCTGGTGCCATATCTAGTAGATCACATCACCTCCCAGTAAAGATATCCATGATCATGCTCTCTGGACCAAATTCTCTGCTGGTATAAATGGCTGAAGTGCCAGAAGTCAGAGGAGCTGTATCCACTTATATCAGCAGAGAATTTGCCCCTACCTATCTGCATGCACTTTGGATGCTGGTTTGTTTGATTGTTTCCACAGCTGTGCATCAACATTTCAGAAAGCAGATGTATGTTTTTTTATTAATGCGGCCAAGCCAACAGGAACGCTAACCCATCTAGGTATTGTGACTGTTAATTCATGTGTCAGCACCTTTTATGTTTTTTTCTCTTTATGTCCGGGTGTGTGGTCCACCTGCTTTAGCTTATATACTGCCTAACATGGCCCAGATCCCACAAAGCTTCATTTCATGCACATTTGTCCTTATTTTGGCAGAAATAATCTAGACAGAAGGCCAAGGTGAGTGGGGCTGCACTTAATACCGAGGCTGGCTGGAAATCAAATGCCCAGTTAACATTGTACATGTTTTCTAGAGTGCAGACTGTGGCCCTGAGGCAATAAATTTGTGGCAATTACTTTGGACAGAACAGAGTTGTCTAAGAAAACAAGCATTCGTTCATCATTATATTATTCTAAATGAAAAACATAGAACAATAAGGAGAAGGATGCCCAGCTGACTGACATCACAGTACTAATGCTCACAGGGTAAAATTCCCCCCTGCACACAGGGCCAGCACAAAATTATGTACAGCTTAAATCCCACTTGAAGACCTCAAAGCAGGGTTGAAATGGGTGGGACTTAAGTGATGCATAGGTTTGTGCTAGCCCTCTTCAGAGGGGAATTTCATCCAAACTGCAGAAGTAAGTGCACCTAGGTGTAGAATTTCCCCCATCATTAGAGACCTCAGCTCCAACAAACCCTAATCTGTAAGGAATATTTCTGCTGTTATTTTATAACTTGATTGTCCTGTGGATTTAATAGAATCAACATAACATTCTTTCCTTCAAGCCACTAGCTTTGAAAAACATGTAGAACCACCTTGACAAGAAATTCTGGATTTATCCTAGAGATGAAATCATTTAAAAGAGGATCTTTATTACTTTTGATGCACAGGTATTACCCATGTGTCCACTGCATATACATGGGATAATGTAATACTGTAATATTACTGGACCACTGCAAGTATAACATTGTGGTTCTATTAAGAAGGACTTAAGAACTGCCCAGTGCACAGGGGTGAATCTCAGTCCCGGTAGAGTGCATTCATCTGAAAGAAAGCCTGTAACTAGGCTATGCAAGAATTGAGTAAAACTGCACGCTATTGAAATCAATAGGTTTAACTCATAGTAGCAAGCACTATGTCTGTTTTCAAGATCAGACCTTTAAATGGCTCCTCGGTGCACACCATATGCCCTTACTATAGAGTCCAGCACTCACAGTATAAAACCACAGACCAGATAGTGCTGTGCTGTAAAACTGTTAATTAATCTTCAGGATGATTCATGGATAGGCAATGATCAGTGTCTTTATTTACTGTCTTAGAATTCTACATATTTATGCAGCTAAAGGTATGAGGGAATACACACTGGCAGCCGCAGAGCGTATGAGAGAGCTGCGAAGACTAGATGCCAAGGAGCACAGAGGAAAGGTAATGCAGACACTGTACCCTGCTCAAACCAGAATTGCAGCATTTAATTCACCTCTGTGCCAGCACTCATCATGAGCATCACTTCATTCCCACTGAAAAATACATCTCCCATACATGAGTCATAAGCCTTCAGAACAAGGGTGAATTTCATCCTGGGGACAAGTACAGGATTTATTTCACTGTTTCACAAAAGGGCCTTATCCAGGCATGTTTCTGTCTCTGTCTATGCTCAGAAGGGAGCACTGTGTTTCTCATAACACTGCCAATGACAAGAGCTCCATGCCTCTCTATCAGGAGCATCCTTGGGCAACGTGAGGGCTCAGTCATCCCATGGGTCCTGCACGGAGTCCTTCTCCCCCCTCCACAGCATTTTCTTTTTTATTAGTTTCACTGTTGCTGGAGTCTTGTATTGTATTTGTTTTGCTGCTATTTTCAGACTCCCCTGTTGGTTGCTGTAGCTGCCAGACAACCAGCCATAGTCTATGATTTGATACTGACAGGGGCTGATGTCAATGCTGTGGACGATAAAGGGCAATCTGCGTTACACCTCGCGGCAACATATGGATACGCACAAGTCATTCAGGTAGGAACAGCTTCCTTATTTTAATTGCAAGCAATATAGAAGTGCAAAGAAATCACAGTATTGGGATGGTGTATTGAAAACCATGCTACAATTTCAGTTCTCAGGGGTTTCCTGGTCCTGCTTGCAGGCTAAGGGGCTCTGTAATGAAATATGCAATCTGAGCCTAGCAGCAGTCAGTCTGCAAAGAGCCAGTCTAGAGCAAGCTGTGTGAGTTGTGCCTCTGTGCCTTACAGAGCAGCCTGCATCGTCTCTCTCTGGTTTTGGGTCTCATCTTGTGAAGGTTCTGGATTATAAGAAATAGTGTTACACTGCAACCTTCCAGAAAGAGTATTTTGTTTTTATCTAACTTCTCTGTTTGTATGCCGTGAATGTAACAAGATGTGTTTCTAAAATGAACATCTCAGAAGTAAATATATCCTTAAGTAAAAATCTTCTGGCTTGATTTCATTCTTTCCAGTCCTTTATTAGGAGTCTTTTTTGCCACTTGCACCTAATATGTCAGCCCTTCACTTCAAAGGAGATGGCTGTATCATGTCACTATCTTGCTACTCGTGTTGTGGATGCTAGCTCCAAACCTGGTAGAGGAAATCGAGGCATATTATTGTTGTTATTGTTTGTTATTTGCATTGCAGTAGTGCCCGGGGCTCCAGTCAGACCTGAGCCTTATTGTGCTAGGCACTGTACAAACACACTAAGAGAAAGCTCCTGCCCTGAAGAGTTTGCAATCTGAAGAGACATCATGGAACGAGTGGGTGTAGCAAACAGAAGGAGTCACAGGGAGGGAGAAGGTAACAATGATAGGAGCACATCAGGTCAAATTACGCTTTCATTTACACAGGTGTAAATCTGGAGTAACACCCCTGAAATCAGTGGAGTTACTCCAGATTTATATCATTGTGAATGAGAGCAGAATTTGGTCCCTGGATACGTAGACTAGCTCCCTACACAGTTTGCAAAAGCAGATATGTTTTTTAAATGATAAATAGAGACAAGAGCTATTGATGTGGCTTTTCAAAGGCACAAAGAGGAAGTCGGCATTCATGGCAGACCCTCAGCTGGCGTAAATTGTCATAGCTTCATTGCCATCAGATTGATCAGCTCCCTCGCTCCAATTCTTACTGAAAGTTAATGACACCTGACTGCCCTTTGTGCCGTTGAATGTCTCTTCTGTTAACGAGAGCAGTAAACTTGGTGGGCCACCTGCCGAGCCATTCTTTCCTGTGCGTTTCTGCCTGCCGGGTTGTATGGCCAGATTCTGATACACTTTCTCACACTGAATAGTGCTTTATTTAGGGTGAACATATATTCCATTTTGGCCGGGACAGTCCCTTTTTTAAGCCCTGTCCCAGCTGGCCTGACTTTTTTTTGTGTGTGTGTGTGTGTGTGCAGAAGTCGGCATTTGTTCCGTTTGCTCTTGCTGACTCGATCGGTTGGCAAGAGCATAAGGGACAAATGCCCACTTTTGTCAAAAAAGTTGGGTGCACTGAGGACGAATGTGCAGGGGGGAGGCAAGCAGAGATGCCAGCCCTGCACGAGGGGGTGGGGAGAGGGGGGAGGCAGTGTTCTAGCAGGCAACAGCCTCACGCAGGGGGGAAGGGGGCAGTTTTCCAGCAGGCAACAGTGTTCCGACTGACAATAGCCTCACACGGCGGGAAGGGGACTCGGGCGAGTGGCTGGGAGTGTCCCGTTTTCCTTTTGGGAAATATGGTCACCCTAGCTTTATTCTGCCAGAAATCCTATTGCCTTGAACAGGATTTCTCACAGAGCAAGGTACTACCCAACGTGGGTGAGTGTATTGGAATCTGGCCCTTTAGTAGATCATTGGTTGCTAATAAATTTTAAAGAAACCTTTACCTCGCTTTCTATTCATACCAGCAGACACTGTAGGCAGCTTCCCTGACAAAGTTCTGGCACCCACAATGATAGGATTAAGGTAGGGCTGTTCCTCTAATGATGGCGCTGCATTGTAAATGAAAGAATGTTGCAAGATCGCCTTCGTTCTGGCCGTTTGAATTCCAGCACTGGTTAACCATGCCTTATACACAGCCCTAAGTTAATTCATAAATGGGAAGTTAATATGTAACTTACAGAGTGCTTAAGACAACATTCTTTTCACTCAGCCTCATGAATCTGACTGGGAGGATTCCGCTGAAGGGAATGTTTGTGGGGCACTTGTAAAACTGACGGAACCCTTTTTCATGGAAATGCATCTTTTTCACTTAAAATAAGTGCTGCAAAATATATTCAGGCTCCCCAATCTGTGTAGGCAAATCCTTGAATTTTTAAGGTTTAATTCTGAACTTTTCTTCTCCCCCTTAATGAACTGAGATTAATAAGGAGGAAACTCAGAGCCATGTGTCAATATTTTATCTGGATAAATCACATTCACGTTATGTAAAGTTGGCACTGATTCCAGGTGTCTCTGAAATTGGGGCCAAATTCAATCAAAGACTTAGTGTCTCATGCCTGTATGTTAAGTATTAAGGGTTCTGAATGAGTCATCACAGTACATGTATTTATATTTGAAAATCTCAGCTAAAATGCTATGCTATGGGGAAATTAGGTTATTCAACAAAAGTAGGGAAAATGTTATACTTTCTAGTATTTTAGATGAAGAGCCTGTATGAAGCATCACTTTATATCACCCTATCTGGGGAAAAAAGAGCCGAATGTTTTCAAATGTTGCACTCTGCATTAAATTCAAACAATGCTCATTTCCATAGAAATTCTTAACTGCTTTTATTAGTTTCATTTGCATACTGCCCCAGATATTACAAGCAGGCATGTTTGCTTCAGCCTGCCATATTGCTACACATGAAAATTTTACAACATGAGCATTGCCAATGTCAACAGATCTTTAGGAAATGAAGTTATGCTGTAAATGATAATATGTGGCGACAGCTTGTTATTTATATGTTTCTAAGATAGTTCTAAATACACATGCGTTCACATTACAGGAAGGGTTAAAAGGCCTGAGTTTATATTGTTTGTTAACCCAGTGCAGAGTGCGCGAAAGAAAGTTGGCTGAAGTACTTGACCATCATTGACATAGATGCACTGACTAAAATTTATAGCTGTTAAAATAGAACTCAACAGAATTAATATTAAGACCTGTTCTAAGGGTTTAAGTGGGACTTTAGTGACACAACCTGGGACTCCGGCATCTACACTGCATTATGCAGGCCCAAATCCAACCACCCATATCCCAGACTTCCTAGTGCGCTCCCCAAATCTGGTCGCTCTAGCCCTTAGTTCGTGATGCAATGCGGGAAACCTTGACTGTCCACAAAACGTAAGTGTCCAGAGGACAAAGAAGGCCAGCGCTTCAGTATGGTGGAATACTTTTGGCGGGCTCCTGGAGCATGAATCCCATGGAGCTGCATCTACACTGCAAAGCAACAGGATCCCAGCTTGACTGAGGCTCGGTTCCTCCACCCCAATGGAGTCCTGGGAACCTGGGTCAACACGATTTGTGTGTTGATGGAAGGGGAGTTGAGCCTGAGTTTGAACCCTGGTATAGACAGACCCACATAGATAGACTTTGTGCAGCCTTTCTGGATAGGATTCACAGCTCAATAGTTATCCTGCCTTTTGCTCTAGCAGGCATGTTCAATATCAGAGCCCAGTGCCTCTGAATCTCTCATATACAGTACAGTGTGCAGTACAGTTCAGTACATCAATGACCAAAGTTCAAGTGATGGTTAAGGTAACCGGCAAAGGGGAAAAATGGGTTGATGCTCTTCTTTGCTTCTTTATGATGGATAAAGAAGGTCTGTAAGCTTGGCTATTATTAAAGGGAGCAAAAGTGTTCTACATGCTTTTTACATTAGAAATTCAATCTTTTCCCTCTGTTTTTCCTGGTAAATTCTATGATCCAGTAGGATTGTGATATCATCAATATCCGAGGGGAAACAACATTTACCCAGCTGATTTGTGATTGTGACTGGCCTCTCAGTCATGCCAGTAGTGACCTTTATTCTGTAAGCCTTTTGGGGGAAGGACTTTCTTTCTGTTATCATAGAATCATAGAAATGTGAGGCTGCAAGGGACCTGCATTGTGGCAGGGCCAGGTAAACCTAAACCATCCCTGACAGGCGTTTGTCCAACCTGTTCTTAACAAGCTCCAGTGATGGGGATTCCCCAACCTCTCTTGGAAGCCTGTTCCAGAGCTTAACTACCCTTATAGTGAGAAAGCTTTTCCTAATATCTAACCTAAATCTCTCTTCCTGAAGATTAAGCCCATTATGCATACATACAGCGCTAAGCATGAAAGGGCCCTTGATCTCTGCCTGTAGCTTTTAGTTGCTACTGATGTACAGATTATTATTATTATAATTATTACTCTCTAAAGTTATTTGAATTAAACATATTTTTAAAAACAAACACCCTCTATGCGACAAAAGGAAAAAACTTGTTTGTTAGTGATTCAGCCCCTGCCATATCCCTTCAGTTAAGGATTGAGAAAACTCCCAATCCACAATTCTGTATCCTCCAACTAGACATCCAGCAAAAACAGGTAAGATTTAACATTCCTGATATTACCAATTAAAAAACAAGCAGGAAAAAAATCCCTTATCCTGCACACAAAAAAATAGGCCTTCTCTAGCCGTCATAAAGAAAGCGAAAAAGTGCACAATACTGTTATTTCTCCTCCAGCTGCCACCTTTAATACTTGAAAACATTCCCAGACAAGATGAAATAAAGGGCCACCCATAGTTTTACAGTTGGGACAAAATAATTGACAGGTTTGAAACAATCACTAACTCCAGTACGGAGGCTAAGTGCATGAACATATAATTGGATTCATCTGTATTCTGCCATCAACAGAAATTCTTACCAGTCAGTCGGCTCTGGGAATGTTACAAATGTTTATGGATGCTTTGACTGGTTTTTGCTTAAACAGCGTTCTGTTGAATTTAAATTCTCCTGTGCTTTTGTCAACTCTAGGTTATTATGTCACTAGGTTTCCCGTACGATTTAGAAATGAAGGATTTTGAAGGTAAGATAGTTTGAGTTTTAACTCTTTCACATTTTGGTTTTGCAGATTTTTATCGTGGCATTATAATAATGAATAATAATTATAATGGAGAGACGAGGCGGGTGAGGTAATATTTTTTACTGGACCAACCACTGTTGGTGAAAGAGCGAAGCTTTCAGGCTTACACAAAGCTCTTCTTCAGGTCAGAAAAAGACAAGCTCAAATGCTTCTGACCTGAAGAAGAGCTCTGTGTAAGCTTGAAAGCTTGTCTCTCTCACCAACAGAGGCTGGTCAAAAAAAAGCTTTTACCTCACCCACCTTGTGTCTCGAAGTTCCTGGGACCAACACGGCTACAACAACACAGCAAATAATAATTATAATGGATATTTGGGGCCCAGATATTTGAATGAGTTTTGGGTGTGCAAGGATATCAAGGAGAGTGTTGGCGTCATAGGCTCTGTTTCAGGAAAGAACTTAAGCTATAGAATTCAATCATACTTAAACATATGCTTCAAGATAAGCACATGCTTATGTCCCCTGCCTGAATAGGGATGTTTTCCTGAACTGGGACCATAATGGATAACAAAGTCCTGTATAATATATAATATAATGGGTTCTAAGGTTTATGGTCTCTAATCACGTCTCATGTATTCCCAAGCAATTTGCTATTCATTACTTTGAGTTAATTGTACATAATAATGTTCCTGGAATTCTCTCAGAATAGAGGGAACCGTTGGAAAAAGAGCTGAAAATGAGGCAAAGATTCAGAGCTAGTGCAAATGACCGATGATGATAATGATGATTGATTGATTGATTGATTGATTTTTGTACAACGGTAATGCCAAAAGGCCCCAGTCACAGATCAAGACCCCCATGTGCTAGGCGCTGTATAAACGTCCAGAGCTCACAATCTAGGTTTAAGAGAAGATGCTGCACATAGATGAAACAGACAAAAGAGGGAGCCCTGACTTAACAGAACAACTTACATTGTTGTTTGCAGTGTTGTTGTAGCCAGGATACTACCTCACCCACCTGCTCTCCCAGAACAACTTAGGGAGTTAACTCTTCTCAATATGTAAAGATTCACTTTGGCTACCGGTGAAACTAGCATTTAAAATCTGTGTTAGAGACCCATTCTGTGATTTCCCTCTCCCTTGAGGCCTGTGTGTCTTTGGGGCACCTCAAACTATATATGTGAGACCTGTGTCTCTCATGAAACCACTTTTGTCATAACTGTGAAGTCACTCAGGGTGAAAGGAGCCAAAGATGTCTTATTTATTTATTTTACCCTTTATTTAAATCAACTCTTTATTGAAACCATTTTAACCTTATTTCCCTTTTTTTTTAGGCCATACCCCACTTCACTGTGCTGTTCTGTCCCATAACTCCCTGTTCCGAGAGCAGCAATGTCACCTTACACTAACCGAGGAACAGAGAAAAGAACTTCAGTACCAGAGTGAGGAGGTGCTATCATGTATCCACCTTCTGGTGCAGATGGGAGCCTCCATCCACAGCCGAGTAAGGAGCGAACATTGTTGCTTTCTGTGGTTGAATTACTGATTACACCGTGTCGCGGAGCAAGTGCGCCCTGTCTCTTCTTGGAACGGGATGGGGGTAATGATGGTCCCATGGCTGAGTCTATACAACCATCCCTTGTCTTGGAATAGCTTGGCCTAGAGGTAAAAGTCAATATGGTTGCCCTCTCTCAGGGCTGTGTGGCCTAGCGGCCAGAGTCAATAGGGCTGCCCTGTTCAGCAGGGCTTCATGGTCCAATGGCCAGAGTCAGTCTAACTGCCCTCTCTCAGGGCTGCAGAGCCCAATGGCCAGAGACTGTATAATGGCCCTCTTCAGTAGGACTGTTTGGCCTGACTGCCGGTTAGGGGAGAGGGCCACCACCTGGGGGGAGTGTGACGCCCAGGTAGGGGGACCCAGGTCCTCCCTGCTCCACTGGGTTCCAGCTCGGGGCCCTGTCAGTGGCAAGTATGCCCGTCAGTGGGGAATCCACCTGAAACACGCTGACCCCAGACAGTGCAATAACTAGTCCCCCTGAGCTACTTCCTACCTTGTTCCTGATGCAGCATCCCCGGGGTCTCTCGGCTCTTCGGTCAATGCGGCTCCCAGCAGCTCTGACACTCCTTGGGCGTCCTCCGGAGTCTCAGCGTCCCGGGCTTCCACCATCTGGGGCTTCCACGGTTCCCAGGCTGGAGCTCCAACATGTGTCCTCCCTCTTCAGCGGTCCACTCTGAATGAGCCAAGGTGCTCCCTTTTATATCTGGTCTCCAGCCGGAGCATGCCCAGGGGGGCCGCAGGGACAGGGCCTCCTTGGCCCAGAGAGTAGAGCTAACCCTCGCAGTACCAGTGCAGGGCACATGCGCCCCGTCACACACTATAATGTAGCAGCAGCACTAGGGAATCCGATGGATGTCTCCAAAACGGGAGTCCGGTTTTAGAATGTAACATTTCTGTCCGTTGTTAAACTCTATACATTATGTTCCTGCAAAAGCTGGCTGAAAAATTTCAGTGAAAAAATTCTGGAACAAAACGGTTGCAGAGCCAACAACCTGTTTTTCAACAAACTCGAGTTCACACATGGAAAACTTTAAAAAAGAGCAATAGAAGTGGGGCAGACTGAGATGGTTGTAAGATGCCCCGTCACCAACAAGTTGAGATGTAATTGCAATAAAATTGACTTTTCCAATCAAGTCGGTATCACGGATTTCATAGTGAGTGATGCAGTGTGTGATGCAGCTATTTCACGTGCAGTATTTCATACACAAAGTATTCCTAACCAGATTATTCTATGGCAAAAGGCACACTTTGGAAGGCTGCATTCTTCTTCTAGTATTATTATTTTATTGATTAAACTTCCACATCTTCCTTTTCACAATCTCAAAGCAGAGTAAAATTCACTCCTGTGCAAAGGTCCAACACAAGGTCTTTGCATCACTTAAACCTCACATAAACCCTATTTCAATTAATATATAAAAAATAGGTATTATTATTATCATTTGTATTATTTATTAGAGAGAGAGAGATTCCCCAGTCCCTCAAGTTTCCTCTCTGCATTCATCTCCTCCTCCCATGATACACAAGGCTTATTACAGGGTAACAGAGGTAATTCTTACGGGACCCTTTTGTGGAAGGCCTTTTTTGTATATATAAGCTGAATGGGATGGCCGTACTAAATTCATATCACAGAGATTAAAGCAGAGATGTGTTGGCACTATATTACCAAGTGAAATAAATATGGAACCTCATCCTTTTTCAACTACGTGATCATGAAATGTTGGCCAGTGGCATACTGGCTGAGAATTTAGGGGCTTTCCGATAATTTATTCTACAATTATTTTATTGTTGCATGTTCAGGACCAAATCCTGTATCAGCGTAATTCTCCGGAAGTCAGTGCTGATTTACACCAGTTGAGCAGCTAGCCTTTAGTCTGCTCCAGCGTACTTACATAACATGCTAAGCTCTTTTGCAAACGCTTTGTTGTTGTTTTTCTAACAGGATGTTAAAAGCAACAAGACAGTACTTCATTACACGGTACAGGATGGGAACATCTCCCTGCTCAAGTACTTCTTAGAACTAAATGCTTTCATGTCTGAGGACTTTGTCAACAGTAAGGTGAGTTAGGGCTGGCGCTGGTGCCTAATTTGCATGAACCATAACACATGGGGTGTTCAATTGGAAAGCAATATAACAATTGGATTTCACAGGAAAAGATTTTTGCATGCAGATATGGCAAACTATCCAAACTAAACACAGGAAGTCAATGGACTGTGCAACTTTTCAAAGCTACCTTGAACCTGTGTATCCTGTTTCCATTTATAAATCATATCGCAGGTAATATTTTCTAGAAGGCATTATGCAGGAAGCTAATGCGAGAAACAGAGTACGGAGCTTTACATTTTGACCATGAATAAAATAACATAATTTGTATTGCTGTTGTAACACTCACATACCTGGATTGGGTTTGGAATCCCCTTGTACTAGGAGCTGTATCAACAAAGATGAGAGATATTCCCTGCTTACAGTCTAAGGCTCTGATTCAGGAAAAGCAGCCCTAGTCAGACAAGCATTTAAGCACATGCCTAATTTTAAGCACATGCTTAAATTCCATTGAAGTCAAGGGCGTTTACCCATGTGGTGAATGTTAAGCATATTCCTCAGTACTTTCAGAGTCAGGGCCTAGAAGACACAAAACAGATGAATGGTATGAGGATGAGGCTATAACATACAAACAGGTGACGGGTCTGGGGATGAGGATAGAACATACAAGCAGAGGAAGATGGGGAGGAAGTGCCACTGCTTTGTTAGCTACGTGTTTTGTTGCATCTTTTATTTTATTTTTTTAAAATTGGGAGTAAGATAGGGTGTCGGAACAGGGGCGTTAGTAGAAGTAAGGAAGTAGAAAAAGAAGGAAGGGGAAGAGGGACAATTGTAGCTTGTCACCTTCTTAGGCATAAACAGTAGGCAGGCTTTTGTGAGCATCACAGCAGAGGTAAGCCTTAAAGAGGGATTTGAAGGAGGATCGAGTACTGGCTGCATGGATTGTATTCAGGAATGTTTTGCATTGGGGATCAGTGCCCCATTGTGCTAGATGCCCTACACACACATAATAAAATGCCAATCCCTGCCCCAGAAAGCTTCGGCCCGAATTTTTAAAGGTATTTAGGTGTTGTGGCGCTAGGTGTTGCAATGCCTAAGTATTTAGGAGCCTAAATCTCATTTTCAAAAAGGATTTAGCCCCTTAGGAGCCACGATCCCATAGACAGTCAATGGGATTTAGGCTCTCAGTGCCTAAATCCCCTTTGAAAATGAGATTTAGGCTTCCACATTTTTTAGGCATTGCAGTGCTGAGTACTGCAATGCCAAAATACCTTTAAAAATCTGGGCCTTACATTCGACATGGAGCATCAAATCTATACTGCATTGAGAGTACCTGTAGTAGTGTTCAAACATGAATCTTTGCCCACGCCGTGAGTAACTGACACAAGCAGTGAGGGAGATAAGCAGAGAAGGGGTTGGGAAGGAAGGGGAAGGGCAAGAAAAGTGATTACTCAGTGAGGATGAAGATTATTATTGAATCATGTCGCAAGTTGAGCAAAGAGGCCTGAAATGATGCATTGTGCTGTTCCAATGCCCAGTGCGATGCCATGGGTCAGCAGTATAATGCGGCGTGTTTCAGTCTGCATATCTCCCCCATCACCTGTGCCATCCACAGTATGGAGACAGACTCTTGGAAACACCCCTGCTGCTTAGGGCTCATTCCAAGGACCACCAGCACAATCGTTTTCTCTCCAAATTATTTACACCCTTGAAGCAAGTCTCAGAACCGTGTGTCTATTTTGTCACAGAGCAGTGAAGTTGTTCATGGTGACAACTAGCTGTAACGTTGAGCTTGGAGAATGTAAATATTTTACCGCACATTTCCAGTTCCTGGAAACCATAAGGGGAGATAAAGAAATGACATACAGCAGCCGATGAAAGCAGTGACCCAAAGTTGCATTTCAGGAGAAATACAAGGAAATCAGCCTAGTACAGCTTGCTCTGTTGCCAAGCCTCAAAGAGGATGTCTACACGGCAAAAAAACCAAACCACCCACGGCAGTGAGTCAGAGCCTGGGTCAGTTGTCTCAGGTTCACACTACAGAACTAAAAATAGCAGCGTAGACATTCCTGCTTGGGCTAGAGTCTGGGCTCTGAAACCTGGTGACGTGGGAGGGTCTCAGAGCCCGGGCACCGGCTCAAGTGGCAACATCTACACTAATGTGAGCTCCCTGAGCCTAGGCCAGTTAACCCAGGCTCTGGGCAATGGTTATGGTGAACGAACTTCATGACATTTATACTTTACTAGAGACCATCCCCTGGACATATTTCCTGGAGTTTTTACTCATAATGGCTTGCCTAGCAGCTAGACATAATGGTAGAGCCTCAGCTGGTGTAAACGGGTGCCGTTCTGTAGGCTTCAGTACAGCTACGCCCATTTATGCCAGCCAACGATCTGACTCAATCTGTTCAGGCTGTCTCAGCCCTTTTTTAAAAACCTTCTTATTTATTATGTTTCACATCCAGCAAGCATATTAGCAATCCAGCTGAACTTCGTATTGCAACATTTCTCCCCACAGAGTGACATCTGGGACAACTCCTAACACCAAATCATCACCACTCGTGGTAGATTTGTTTAGACTCAATGTACATTTTCAGCACTTGTCATCAGCTCTGAAGAAAGGGGGGAAGGGAGTTATTCATCTAATGTCCAGAAATGAACATGGTTTGATACAGAGACTGGGAGAAAGCTGTACAGTTAAATATTATGTAGCTCCATTTACCCCAGCTGAGGATCTGGGCTTATAAACACACAGATCCAACAGCAGAAACTCACTGCCATATGTTGAGTACTCTGAAGTGTGGCTTCCTACCATCATGTCAGCCTCTGACTTTTTAATGTGGCCTTATTGAGGAATTCTCCTTGTCTATAAAAATCAACAAAGAGTCCTGTGGCACCTTATAGACTAACAGACGTATTGGAGCATAAGCTTTCATTGGTGAATACCCTCTTTGTCAAACGCATGTCCTTGTCTAGTTTACTTAACTGTTCTCCAAAGGATTCAGCATGAAAGAAGATGTTATTCAGTTCAATTAACCCGGCGCTCAGTTTTGTGGATGCACAAGTGACACTTGCACGTTTTGTCTTATAAAGTTCTGTTTGACGGGGAATGGCACGTACCTTTTGCTCTGTGTGGCGGGACAAAGATCTGTAAAGAACAGGCTCTCTCCTTACCCTTAATTTTTTGAAACACCCTGGTCTTTTTTGCATCATTCTCCCTTTATCTCTTAGGACTCATTGCACAGGCAATAACTTGTCCATGAGGTTCTGGTATCTGACACTGTCTCCTGATAATAATCCTGTAGGCTCTTTGTACGTTGATAGGATCATCTGGAGTCTTCAGCTGCACTGCTGTGTCTCTGATAACCATTATTTCCAAAAAAAAAAAAGATTAAATCGTTGTCCTCTTGTCTTTCCTGTAGTTAAAGAATGTGAAGAATTTGAGCCCACACCTGGCCCTCAGTTTGCTCTAATTTCTTTTAAGTTTCTGCACGCTGTTCAGCTTCTGCTCTTATTTCTTCACAACTGCATCGGCCTTGGCCCCCGGTGCAGTCAAGGCCTTCCATGCTCTTTCTAAAGCACCCAAGTGAGAGTCTAGAGAGTCCCATAAGATTCCTGTCTGACTTTCTTCCATTTATGTTTAGCAGTTTACTAAAAGAAATATCCTTGCAATATTTACTAGCCAGTGAGATCCGGGGCAAGGCTTCTTAAGGGAATACTCAGATACTATAGGCCAGATCCAAAGCTCAGTGAAAGAAGTGGGAATGTTTCTACTGACTTTAATGGGCTCTGTCTTAACCTTATAAGACATGGATGGATGGATGGATGGATGGATGGATGGATGGATGGGGAGGTGAGGGAGTAGGTGGGTAGATAGATGGGATTCAGAGGCCTAGCAAGTGGGTCTTGGATCAGGGAAGAAGTGCACTGGCAAGTTTTTAACTTGGTTGCTTTGTTTGTTGGGATCCTGGCTATGATTCAAGATCATGCCTATGTATGCAAATGCCAGCTTCACTGGGATATTGAGTAAAATCTGAGTGAAAGCTGCCACTTTCGATGATCTCCTGCCTCGATGGGTCTGACTCTTTACTTGCTACAGTGTGGAAATTCAGTGATCTGCCCAATACAAAGTCAGTAACATTAACAGTTTCCCTGGAATCTTGGAGGAGTTCTCGAAAGTGCAGAGGGGCTTGGAGACCCTGAACTCCATCCCAGGGCCGAGTATGCAGCAAATACTGAACCTCAGTGCAGTTTGGAGGAGGATGAGATGATGTGCTCACTGTGCCTCGAGGGTGCAGCCCTGAAGTACTCCCCAGTAGGAGTGCTGGCGAGACGGGCATAATACCTCTGACAAGGCTGGGGGAGAGCACATGGCAGAAATTACTGGTGCACCTTGTTACAAGGTACAGCAAGTTGTTGCTCTGTACAGCAGCTCTGCTCCTCTGGCTAATGCAAAGGGGTGGGGAGTATTGCACGGCATGACCCTGTCTTCTCCCCAGCCACCCCACCCTGTGTGTGTAATCTAGTGCCACAGCGGGCACTAGAGTCACCAGTCTCTTGTGCACCAAAGGTCTGATCCTGCATGCATTGAAGTGAATAGTAATGCTCCCTCCATTAAGCCATAAGATCATGCCTCTGTGCAATAGGAGAGAAGGCTTCTTGTGTTCTCTATCCCTTGTCCCACTATAGGCATCATTTAGCCTATAGTGTCCCTAATCCAACTTCCATTACAGCGAATGCAAAGGCTTTAATGACAGCTCAGGCTTTATAAAGTTAAGAGTCTTATTTGCCTAGCTTAATGCTTGGTTTCTGAAGATACCAATGTTTCTGCCTCAAGACTGTTGTCAAAGATACAGCATATAAACACAGGTGCTTCATTTTTTCTTGAAAAGCCATATAAATAGCTAAGTAACAGTCATTTTGTTTTATAGGATGGTAAAGTTGACATAACAGATTTGCTGATTCAGAACTTGTAAAAATAACTTGTATCCCTAAGAAAAGCTTTTAAGAATTCATATTTGTTTGCTATTTAGAGGTGTGTTTCAGAGTATCTTCTGCATCAGTGGTGCACGTGGAAAAAAAATTACTAGCCACTCCTTCTAACATTGGTTAGCATTTGTGTCCTGTACCTTTCAATGTCATCCCCTTTCCAACTGAGCTCATAAAATAACTGCAACTGCATATCAGTGTGTAATAGCTAAGTAGTAGCATTTGTTATTTCATCAGTTAATAAATAGAACAGAGGGAAATGAATTAGAATCACAGCAGGGGAAATGATCATACAAACTCAACAGAGCACCATCTGTGATGAATACATGATGATTTGAAAAATAAAAGTTATGGGGCTGGTTAAATATATTATTAGTATCATAGAATCTTTAATAAATTAATCCCTTGCCATCTATGTTTCTTTTATTAGTCCTTCGTCACCAATTCTATTGACTCTTCTGCCTGGGCAGCATTACAGCTTTTGTCCTGTCCTGTCTGATAACTGTGATAGAGTTCCTCTCCGGTTACAGAACTCAGTCTCAGGCCACCTACCGACCTGGCAAGGAATTACATTTTTTTTTTCATTTTTAAGAATGCTTATGTAGAAGGACCCAAGAAAGCACTTAAGCGTGTTCTTAAATCCCATTGCTTTTCATGGCACTTAAGCACATGCTTAAAATTAAGCACACGCTTACATGCTGTCCTGAATAGGATGCTTTCCAGAGTTGGGGCCAATGACAGGTGTGATTTCTTTCACCTGCTCCAGTACCTGAGCCCCATTATATATACAGTCCTAGCATATATTCTTAATATTACATAGAGATACATGGACAGCAGTAACCCTTCAAAAACTGGCCACTTTCCAGGAGGATCACTTCTAATCTGAGTGTTTTGCAGTAAGTTCCACTGAGGACACTTACCCAGTGATCTGGAACTTGGAAGCGCTCTAGCAGTAACAGGCGAGGTGGCTGGGACTTGCTTTTTTTGAAACAGGAAAGGCCCAGTGGCCAGGAAATCAATGTCTTTTAGCTCCAAATATAATCCATTAAATATTGTTCCTGATCCTCATTTCCACTAAGGCCCTTTTACACTCTTCTGGCGGAGGCCTTAATGTGCATGTCAGAGCAGTGTAAAGAGGTGTTACTGCAAATGAGAATCAGGCCCATCATTTTCAGCTATGATGCCCTACATGACTTGACACATGCCATCGCACAACTGTGTGTAGTGCATCCATGTGGCACCAGATTTTACTTTCTCTATGTCAAGTTAGTTTCTTGATAAGTGACTTTTCTTTAGCCCTTCAACTTCCTTCTACAAGGCACTTTATATGGACTACGTCCTTCTCTTTTTGCAAACAGCTCATCTGGCCCCTGCCACCTAACAAGATATGGTTCTGCAGAAGTCTGCAGGCTCATTGGGCACATTGCTAGTCAGGTGTCTTTTGCTGGCCTCTGAGGTACTGCTACAGCCAGGTATCTGTTCTTAAAGCATCAAAAGCCACCAACTCTTAGAAGCACTGTTTTCCCAACTTTGTAGCAGGTCTATTGAGCTGTGGTGTTTAGAATAGGCATATATAAGTAGCAGATAATGGGGATACCCTCAAGTAACCAATATTTTCTGGCCTCTTCATCTCTAATTGACGGTTTTCCATTTTTTGGGTACCTTTTTAAAACTGAAAATATTTTTGCGGGGAACTGAAAGGTACAATTGAACAATGGACTGTAAGGTGTTTGTTTGTTTTTCATTGTGCTAGGCTCATGGTAACACAGCTTTGCACATGGCAGCTGCTCTTTATCAGGACAAAAATCAGGAAGAAATTATCAAATTGCTCCTGGACCATGGGGCAGACCCAAGCATCCGAAACTTAGACAACGACCAGGCAATTCACATGGCACAGTCAGGAAAGGCTGGCGATCGGGTAAACATTACATACAGTTTATACTTTGTAACTCTTATTACTTTATAACTGCCTATTAAACATAGACATCATGTACCTTTATAGAAAGAAAGAATTCGGTTATAGGGAAATTTTGCTACTGAAATTCCCCGATTGAAAGGCTCTGAAACAATGGACCTTCATTCCATTCATAGTGGAGTGTCCGCTGTGCTAACCCTCCAGATCCCCAGCAATTACCATCCATCAGCTAGGCATTAAGGCCCAGATTTTCAAAAGTGACTGTTGATTTGGGGTACATCCATCTTCAGGGGTTCAACTTGAGACCTTTTAAAGGGCCCTGATTTTCAGTAAATACTGAGCAACCACCCTCTGAAAATCAGGCTCCGTTGTCAAGTTGGGCACTGAAAATCACTAGTCACTTTTGAAAATCTTGGCCTAAATACAGTATTTCAAAGGGATTCTCCCGTCCCCCTCCTCCTCTGTTCTATCTAAACAGGGGAGGAGGAAAGAAATTGTCACTGCTCCATAAAGAGTAAAGAAGAATTTCCAACTCCAGTGTTGTGGTTGTTCCCAGCTGGAGTAAAGAAGAACTAGTCTTGCTACAGTGGCTTCCCACAGTTAGGACCTAATCCATGGCCTATTGAAGCCAATGAGGGTCATCCCAGAGGCCATCCCCTCTCTCTCAGACACGCACAGTTCCCCCTGCAGCTGTATCAGGTGAAGAAAGCCTTGGTCACCATTCCCAAGTGAATAGGGCTAGCTATTATGCCAGATAGGCTCTCCTCTGTTACAGCGAATTTGGGTCTCCACTGTACCGTGGGTGGAGTGCATATCGGCATATGCCTACACAAAGGACATATGCCTACTTTGGCAATTCCATAGCCAAGGAGCATAACAGAAGTATTAATGGATGCTCTGGAGATCATAGAGAACTGTCAGCACATAACTCTTGTGTTATGAAAACAAATACTGACAGAAGATTAAGTTACAGTGCCTTCATGCGTGAAAAGGTTACTGGAGCACATTCTAATTGACAATGGGATCATATACATCCGCCATGTACACATTCATCCACAATTTTACATGATGTAAACAGTCTTTATATTTTATATTTTAAGTCTTTATATTTGTTGGCAGGTCAGGCATTTGCTGAAGAAAGGGAGAGTCACGTCAGCATTTGTTACCTGCCGTCGAAACGCCAGATCCTAGATCACCTGCCAGTTCAGACAGGGTTTTGCCTTGGTTTCCTGATAAGGCACCTCCTTTCAGAAAAACTTGAAGTCTTTAAATCAAGACTGAACGACTTTCTACAAGTTTTGCCACAAGTTGTTGGGCTCAATTACAAGGATTACTGGGTGAAATTCTGTGGCCTTTGTTATGTAGGAGGTCAGATTCTAACTGCCCCTTCTGGCCTTAAAATCTATGAAAAACCAAAGGCTTCAGTAATGAACTGTATGGTGCAAATGTGCAGTAGCCACTAAGTTGCGCTCACCATCGTACGAGTCATTTGCAGGTTTAAACTAGTTTTAAATGGTGGATTTTCTGTAACTTGAAGTCTTTAAGTCATGATTTGAGGACTTCAGTGACTCAGCCAGAGGTTAGGGGTCTATTACAGGAGTGGGTGGGTGAGGTTCTGTGGCCTGCCATGTGCAGGAGCTCAGACTAGATGATCATGATGGTCCCTTCAGGCCTTAAAGTCTATGAGTCTATGGCATTGTCATAGTTCACCTGTGTGACCAACGGTACGTCTGAACCGAAGACCTCTAAAGAGAAAATTCCTCTGGTCCATGAAGCTACTATCAGTTCTGTTCTTCAGTATTTTGCATGAGACTATTGAAGGAGCCACACTTGAAAGCTTGGGTCTCATGCGTCTGACTGTAAGAGGGGAAAACAAATGCTCACGAGGATAAAAATACAGGACCAGATCCTCAGCTGGTGTAGGTCAGCATAACTCCACTGAAGTCAATACAGCTGCACTAATTTACACCGGCTGAGAATCTAACCCACATATTCCATTTAGCATTCAGAAAACTTAATTTAGCAACAGGTCCTGTATATAAAAATAACAGACCCGGCTGATCATTTGAGTTCTTCTCTTCTCTTAGGATTATCCTCCTACAGTATGTGCAATGACTAATGGGATTTTGCAGCTCTAATCATGCCGTTAAGAGTGCAGGAAATCACTTTGTCCTACAGAAGACAGGTAATGATTACTGGCGAACACGGGGACATGTTATCTAATCTGCTTAATTAGTTTAGTTAGATTAATCACAATGGCAAAATCATCAGCATCAAACCGAGACTGTCAGTCATGTGCCCCAACTGATGCTAAAAGTAACCCAGAAAATCAAAAGTCTGAAGAAGAAAGGCCTGTTAGATTTTGTTTTCAGGCACCTATTTCATTTAAAATGCGTTAAAATTAACCGAGGAAATTACCCAGAATAGTGACCAACATTCAGGATGCTCATTCAATATTTCCGGTCAGAATAATCTATACAGCACTGTCAATCATAGCAGGAATTATGGTCCTGAAAGCATTAAAATACAAGAAGCTAGATCCATCTCAGCTGCAGCCAAGGAGCACAGGGCATAGATCCTGGAGGAGGGTGAAAAGGCGGCGTGAGCTCATCTCTGTACTCTCAAATCCTCAGCTCACTCTGTGTTATTCCAGTCCCATGGTGTAATTTAGAGCAGTCTGGGGGTTGCCAATGGTCCCAAAGGACCAACATGGCATTGGGGAATCAACAGAAGGTAGGGAAGCCCCAGTCTGCCCATTCACTGTGGGCTTCCACTGTGGGCACAATGGAATTCATTGCAGGAATAAGGCCCAAAGCATGAATGGAGAATATTCATAGTAACATTCTTAGCGGAATGTGTATAGTAATAGATTCTTTCTATGAAAAGATTTGTGGGTTGCTATGCAATCGTAGACTGAAAATAATGTCTCTCGTGAGTCGATAGAAATGAGGGGGAGTAAAGGTGACATTCTGACAATCAGTATCACTGATTAATTTCATTAATTATATTTAATAAGTTGACTAGAAAGCATTTTGATTGTACCTCGCTATCTTCTCATTGTAGCACAAATGAATTTTTAACAAGCGTAAACAGAAAGGTAAAGGATCATTTTATTTTAGTTTTTTTATTTTCGTTTTTTTGCAGCATCTACATGACTTAGGAGCCTAAGTCCCAGCAGCGTAGCTATTGGAGCATGCGTCTCTGAAAGTGACTCTTTCAGCCTTCGCTTTTTGAACATCAGCGCTCAGTGTGTCCCTCTTGAATGATGCTGTTATATTGGGAATCACTAGTGATTTGCACTGAGACTTAGGCTCATAAGTTACTTAGGAGTTTTGAAAAAGAACGTTTAGCCAAATGTTTAGCAGGTTTAGACTAAAGCTCTTCAGAAACACTGCTATAGGTATTGTAATTACAGATTGCTGTTACTCTTAGCCTTCCTCAAACCTTTCCCTCCCTACCTCTTGGTTACCTCCTTTCACTTGCATCACGTCTACAGACCTGCCAACATTCTCTGACCAAAAAAAAGAGTTGCTTGTATATTTGCATATATTTGCATACATTCCGGCACAAATCAGCCAAAGCACATGCCTCCTCATTTTGAAGCTATGCTGTAAGAAACTCCAGTGTGGGAATGACTGCATGCATGTGTGAATGTTCAATAGGTGACACATGTGTAAATGCAAATAAATAAATAAATGCAGTTGTTTAACTTGCTACCATCAGAAATCTGTGAATAACACTGAGCATTTAATACACTTTAATGTAACCACTCATGCAGATTTTTATGTGGAAATTCTTATTTGTGCGATGAATTGGATGCCATCATACAATACATGGAATAAACCATTCTTGAATTAATGAGTGTTTAAATTATTAGCTCCCCATTTTCTAGGGTGAAAATGACCCCTGTGCAGAGAACCAGCACCACACTTGTGCACCATTTAAGTCCCTTTTATGCCCTCAAAATAGGACTTATGTACTAGTGCATAGGCTTCTGCTGACTGCACAGGGCTGAATTTCACTCATTGAGTAGTTCCTTACTCTGCAAGAGGTTCCTGTTGATTTCAGTGCAGTTGTTCAAGCACTAAGGCACTCCACACTGTGAGAAAGGATGGTAGAATTTGGCCCTCTGTATATGTCCAGGTTTATCCTTTCCTACCTTTGACTTAGCATAGGTTGTTACTCAAAAGGCAATGTTATCATTAAACAAAGGCATGGAGAATTGGCACTATGGAAAATCTCCAAATGGTCTGTAGTTGAAAGCAAAGAACTATTATTTGATGGATTAAACAGCCAGGACATTAGCGGAAAGCCATAATTTACGAGGTTTTGTCTTACCTAAATCTGCACATTGCAGTTAGAAACTGGGGTCCAGACATTAGGTTTGTTAATGGCTTGAGTCTCAATTTCTTATAAGAAGGGAGTTATCTTAAAATAAAATATCAATTTTATATGCAAACTAGATAATATGTATTTATTATATAAACATTGGCCAAATCCTCAGCTGATGCAAATCAGTGCAACTCCAGTGGTGCTTTGTCAGTTTATATCAACTGAGGACCTGGCCCAAAGTGTTTTCCTTTAAACAAATTTGAAAAAAAAAACCCACAAATAAAAAAAAAAAAAAAGGCCTGCATTCCTTATTGTTGAAAAAGCCCAGGAGCAACCTCTGATAAATTGTCTCCTTTTGCCATTTCTTTCTGATGTTAATAGACAGTCCATCGGTGGGTCAATAATCAGCAAGTTTTTACTTGCACTGAATGAATCATCTGAAATGAATGGGGACCTGGAAACATAACAACCCAAAACACAAACAAAAGTCTGGAACATGTTTGCTGTCCTAGGCTTGGACTAAAAAATAATAGACAAAATTGCAGAAACACATGACTGATGGCATTATTCAAAAGGTCTATGAAAGACAAAAAAAAAAAAAAAATGGTGTCAGTTCTGAGCCCTGAATTTGTAAAGGACAGGCACAGAAACATGGCCTGTGGTTGCCAAGCCTCTGGCGTTCATCTGGGCTCCAACACCACGTTCCACTCCAACAGCTCTGCCACATTGATCTTGGAGAGATGCACATCATTCTTCCTCCATAGGCCCCCTCCGGGAGCAGGGAGGGGTGAACCTGCACACCCTGTGGCTCTTGAGACTTTGAGGGCGGGAGAGCAGAGCACATCCCTGTGGAACCCTGACTAGCTGTGGGGCTAACTTTCCCCTTCACACTACTCTGGAATCCTTCTCCCTAATTTACAAGCAGATTTTTTTTTTTCTAAAAGATCAGCTCTAGGAATTATTGTGGGGCAGTTCTCTGGCCTGTGTTATACAGGAGTCAGACTAGATGATCACAATGGTCCCTTCTGGCCTTTTAGTCTATGGATCTATAATTCTCAGTTACGCTAAGGCCTCTTTACACCCGTCATAGGGTGACTGGCTCCTTTAAGGAGAGATGAGATCAGCCACCCCTGTGCCATAATTAATTATCTATTTCCCAGCCTGAGAAACAGGACTAAGGAGGGTCAGGTGACAGCTTAATGGGCATCTGCAACTTATAAAAGGACTGAGAGCTCAGTCTGGGAGCTGGGACCACAGTGTATGGGAACATACCCGTGGAAGGCTCTGAGCTAGAGTCTGCAGGAGGCTGGGTGGTCTGGAGTGGAACACAAGGAGCGGGCAGGCCCTGAGCTGTAGGAGGCTGGGTGCTTCAGGGGCCCAATTCTTCAGGGGCCTGGTGCTTCATACCAGCATGGGGAAGGATGCAAGGAACAGAGCCCAGAAGGGGCTGTGAACAGTATTCCAGGGGAACCAGCCTGGGGGCTGAATGCTCTGTCCCAGAGCCAGAAGACTCTCCAAGGTAACCCAGGAAGGGGCTGGGAACAGGGCCCTGAGGGTGGGCTGAAGAAACCCCTGAATGGCAGAAGGACCTTTTGTTTGTTGGGACATTTTTAGTTGCCCTGTTGCTATCCCAGAAGGGATTGTTTTGTTTGTCACTTGGCTGGCGGGCTCAGCTGCATCTCTAGCACATCTCCAGTGTGTGGAGAGCTGAGACCCAACCTGGTGAGGGTAAGTGGACCTTAAAGTGAACATTATTTGCAATTTCCACCCACTTCAAGGGCCTGCAATGCTGGCAGAGCAAAGTAAAAGGGCACTAGTGAAAATGACAATCAGACCTAAAAAGTATAATACACCATTAATGGTCACCTAGGTCCTGGTTCCCTGCTGCCCTCTATCTTGTACAGTTGTTTACAGCTATGCAAAGGATAGTAGCGATTATACCCCTGTGCATTCACTTTGCACAAGGTGCAAAGCAGCAGGAATCAGAACTGGGCCCCTTGCCTCTCTGGCTGTCAAACCCTGGCTGCAGCAATGCATGGGCCTCATGCCAACTCCCTGCACAAGGGATGAATTCCACCCATTGGAAGGTATTTATCCAGGGCCTGATTCTCATTTCCATTAAGCCCCGTTTATATCACTTGGGCAGCATAAGGGTGCCCTAGAGCAGTGGTTCTCAGCCAGGGGTACATGTACCCCTGGGGGTATGCGGAGGTCTTCCAGGCGGTACATCAACTCACCTAGATATTTGCCTAGTTTTACACCAGGCTACATAAAAAGCAGTAGCAAAATCGGTACAAACTAAAATTTCATACAGACAATGACTTGTTTATACCATACACTGAAATGTAAGTACAACATTTATATTCCAATTGATTTATTTTGTATAATTATATGGTAAAAATGATAAAGTCAGCAATTTTTCAGTACTAGTGTGCTGTGACACTTGTTTCTATTTTTAGGGCTGATTTTGTAAGCAAGTAGTTTTTAAGTGAGGTGAAACTTGGGGGTACATAAGACAAATCAGACTCCTGAAAGGGGTACAGTAGTCTGGAAAAGTTGAGAACCGCTGCCTTAGAATGAGTGTTAAGGCACCCTTTCTGGTTTTTCTGTTGGACAATGCCAATCCGTTGGAAGCTAAATACTTTGGGGAAATATGTTGATTTCAGCAGAAGTTCATTTTGAAAGAGCAATTGAAAAAAGCGCTTTGCTAAGGTCCGTTTTGGAATGGAACACTTTTTGTTTTCCTGCTTCACAATGACCTTTCATTTCAATTTTTAAAAATTGGATATAATGTAAAATAAGTAGAAATTGGAATGAATGACTTTGATTTCATTGAAACAAAATGTTTCAATTGACCGGAAATAAAAAATGGGGATTTTTAGTAGGAAGAACTTCTTCTGTTGTCTTATGCCAAGTCTCCACGGAGGAGCTACGCTAGCATACCTATACCAGCAAAGCTCTGTACTGTGGGCAAGCCCCCATGACTCAATTCCTCATCTGTAAAATGGGGAAAATACTCCCTTTGTCTGTCTTCCTTACTTAGACTGTGAGCTCTTAAGGGCAGAGACTGCCCCTTACCAGGTGCTTGTACAGTACATCGCCCTGATCTCCACTGGGACCTCTAGGCATGGACGTAATACAAATAACAAATGCCTGTGAATTAATAACAATGGGCTCTTGATCCTACAAATGTTTACTAAGTTTAGAGCTTATTGCTAAGAATAATTTCACTGACTGCCACGCAAGTGTAAAGCAGCACTCGTAAAGTGTAGTGTATAATCATTGTTTATAGAATAACCAAAGAAACATCATTTACCTGCTGCACACAGCCAATTCTTAGCTGAGAAAAAGTATTTAATCTTTATTTAAATTCCATGTAACTGCAATCAGATAGGAGATATATTCCCCCATATAATAAACATGCAATATTTTGGCAGTGTGTAGCCCTGGGCCATATGCCTACTGCTAAACCTAGAAAATGTGTTGTGCCTCAGCACACCTGTCACACCTTAGCACTGAAATACAGACGCTGATTTCCTAGCAGGCACTGTTCATCTGATACTTGACTTGAAGTATGTTAATTACAAGTTGTGGGTAATTATTAATCTCATTCCAGGAAGATGACTCAGAGTCTCTGCATTTTTACATTTTCCTTTAATGTTTTTGTGCATTATTTTATTGGATATAATAAAGACTGTTTGACTAGTCCTCACAAATTCAGGCTAATGCTTTCAAAACTGAGCAGTGGATTTGGTCATCTTATTCCTATTAATTTTAATGGGAATTGAGCATCTATGTCCTGTATTGGATTTGACAATCTCAGTTCACCCTTTAGCTCTTAAAACTATTAATTTCTACAAGCCTCTATTACATGTAACCAAATCTGACAGATTTCCATGAACAAGTTTGTGGGGCCAGGAACTGCAAACATATAATCAGGTGCTCAAGTAATGCAGTGATGGGCACAGGATAAAAATCTGCACAGACAGAGTGGTAGATTTTAGCCTAAATTGCCAAATTTTTAAAGCCAAGGTTTGGAAAAGTTGCTGCTGCATTGGGTAAACCAGGCAGCAGAAAGGACATCTTTCCACTGTATTAGAATCTTGGTTGTCGCTATATAACTTTACCTAGCTGCAAATCCGAGCAGTATCAAATCAATCTATTCCAGTCCCCAGGAAAGGAAAACATGCCCGCCATAGGTTGTGAAAAGTCTGTAGGCAGCGTATTCTATGGCTGATCAGCAAACAATTCCATTTCATGAACAGCATTTTTTGATTAGAAAAAAGCTTTGTTGAAAATTTTTCAACCCACGGTAGTTGATTCAGTAGGTTTTAGGAGATGAAGAAATAATAATGCTGGCGTGTTTTTTTTAGCATGAAGAAAGACAACTCTGAAAACTACCATCTCTGTTGCGATCTGTAATCACGCAAGCAATCCGAGGGTACACAGGCACCTTCCACCTTTGCATTTTAAAAAAAACTTCATGGGGAACGCTCAACCATAAGCTTTTAAATTAAAATTCAAAGTTAAAGTGGCCAGAAGGAAGCACTATTAAAGTTGTGGCTTGTTAATAATGGGAGCCAGTTGGATAAATATGGGTTTGTGTAGTTGTTGTATTCGCTTACAAGTATTACTGTTATGCAGGTGGAGCCCCTGGAGGCCTCAGCCGGGACTGAGGAAAAAGGAGCTACCTGATGAGTGTAGGATCTCAACGGGTTTAATTAAGGCGAGCTCTAGTAAAGTTTGTCGGTAACTCAACTGTGTTCAGTACAGTACATCCCCATTCCTTTGGGTTCAGAAAGAATCTCAGTACATGGTGACCAGGAACACAAGCAGCAGTGCAGCTTTGCTTTCTCTGACAAATAGCATCCTTCAAATATGACACCGAGTATTATGTCTTCATGTCGGGACTTGGCAAAAGCTCTGCAGATACAGCACAAGTAGCCACAAGCTTTCTAATGACATTTTAACAGATATAGGAACCAGCTCTTGGGGTTTTTTCTGTTAATAATGACACTAAATACTCCCTGTAACCCAGATGTTTGGGAAGGACGTTGTCATGCTGAGCAAGTATTTGGGAGAAATGATGGTCACGGCTATGCTGGACCAAGGAGATCAGGATTCAGGTCTCAGCTCTTAAAATGAAGCACATATCTAATCAGTGCCTTAATGTTTCTGGGGCTCAGTTCCCCATCTGTGAAAGACAGATATAATGCTCTCTGAAATGCCTCTGACAATCCCAGTGCAGGTCCTTGTTTCAAATGGCATTGTTAACTGAGTACTGGAGCCTTTGCCAGCAGAGGTCATTGTTTTACTGAGCCAGCAGGCAATCTCTCTCTGTTTCATCTACTATGTATTCAGAGCACCCCTGCGGTAAGGCTGAGAATGCAAACAGCAAGAAATTCTCGGTTACGGGTTCTGCAGCTCACCCCCCTTCCCGGGGCACACTTAGAATTCTGCTTTACTGCATAAACAGCTAAATATATACACCTGTGTGATGAATATGGCTGGAATACTGTTACTACAGGAACCCTGACTTTGATATTCTGGACCAGATTCTAGTTTGTTCTCTGTCCCTTGGGCACCACTCAGCCAGTGTGAAGGGGATGGATTCTGGCCACAGCTGATCAGCAGACAAATGTCCTATGGCGAAAAGCAGGCAGAGCCAGCTTCCGTGCCAGCCCCCTCTACCCACCACCCCAGCAGACTTGCATCACAAATACTGATACAGTTTCATGATGTATTATTGTGATATTGTTAAACATTTGTGTCTAATGCGATAGGTGTGTGTGGGTCTCTTTATAGAGAAGACAGACGCAGTTCCTGCCATGGGGCGTATGAGATCTGGGTGGTTATATATGACATGATATGATGCAGGGAGTGATGACAAGGCAGAGGGCAGGATGGGTGGTGAGAGATTGGGAATGGGCTTGTTTTAAATGTTATATATGATATTAGTAATCATATTGTTATATGTATGTATATAACATGTAAGTGTTCTATTTATTCACTAGCATTGTGCTCGTACATCATCAAACAGAGCATGAGACTGGGGGAAAAGCAGGATTTGTCAATAGAGAGACAAGTTATGTGATGAACAGGGCCAGGCAGGTGGTGGAGGGAGCAGTCTGGGAGAAAGACCCAGGGGAAATGAAGGAAAGTGGGACTAGCAGAGTGAGAGTGGCAGGAGATGAGAAAGTAGGGGGTAGAGTCTGGAGGGCAAGAATGAGGATTTGAGGCAGAAGGGGGTTCAAAGTGGGGAGATGCCCTGGATGGAGATGTGGGAGGGAAGGAGGAATTAGGCAGTGGACAGGCTGACCCAGCAGGAGGCTTTCAGCATGTGCCCTCACTTCCCTGCTATGCAAGGAACTGAGTTTGGGGGAGAGGGGCGGCAATTTCAGAAGAATCAGATGTTCTACAAATGGGTCCGGAGCCTCAGCTGGTGGAAACTGGAGTCAGTCCACTTCACTCAATTGAGCTATCCCAACTTACAAAGCCTGAGGATGGTCCATGTTCCTGTTGGAAAATCTCACCCTTAGCCTTCTGATGCTTACAGACTCCTATTGTTGTGTGATTCATTGTGCTCCATGCAATTGTCACCCCAGTCACAAAGAGAGGGTTCTATCAACATCCAGTGAATGGGTCGCTTGAAGACCCCTGCCCTTCAATGAAGGTAAGCCAGTGCGTGGAATTAGACCCTACAGAGTGAACTGGAGGCTGCAAGGTGAATGGAGATTGAATTCATAGGAGAGCAGGGTCAAAGGAAGGAAATGGAAGAGAAGGGAAGTGGGATGATGATGACTGAACAAGAGGCAGACTTTCAGATCAGTAGGGCCCTACCAAATTCATGGCCATGAAAAACGCATCATGGACCGTGAAATCTGGCCTCCCCCTCCCTGTGAAATCTGGTCTTTTGTGTGCTTTTCCCCTCTACTATACAGATTTCATGGGGGAGACCAGCGTTTCTCAAATTGAGGGTCCTGACCGAGAAAGGAGTTGCAGGGGGATCGCAAGGTTATTTTAGGGGGGGTCATGGTATTGCGACCTTTACTTCTGTGCTGACTTCAGAGCTGGGCAGCCGGAGAGCAGCAGCTGTTGGCCAGGCACTCAGCTCTGAAGGCAGTGCCTCACCAGCAGCAGCACGACTCCTTTTTGGGTCAGAGCCCGACAATTACAACACTGTGAAATTTCAGATTTAAATAGCGGAAATCGTGAAATTTAGGATTTTTAAAATCCGATGACTGTGAAATTGACCAAAATGGACCGTGAATTTGATAGCGCTACAGAAAATAGAATGGATGGAGAAGAGGTAATCTACACAGCTTGTGCAGGAAAAGATGCTGGGTTTAGAAGAGGGCTAATCTTGAACCTGGGGTGGCGAGTTATACTTGGTACTCACGTTTTTTCTTACCTGAGAAGATGTAGTTGAATGGTTCACGGAGATTGGTTTGTTGTTGTTGTTTGGGTTTCATTTGGGAAAATGCTTATTCCCTTCTAAATTCTACTTGTGGCTGGAGGATTAATTGAATGTGAATCTTACTCCTTCTGCTCTATCAAAAGAGCACGAGGACACTGGCTAGGAAAGAGCTGAGGTAGTGTGAACATAGGGGTAATGAGGCTTCCCACGTGAGAATTTTCTCATTTAAAACCCTGGCACTTGGATGGATTAAATCATCATTGAAGCGCTGCTTTTTTGTTGCGTCTTTAAAGAGAAGAATGGTTCTGAGCAGCCTGTGATGTTTCAGGAAGATGCATTGTCCTAAGGAGATTTCATTTCTACAGTGAGGTAGGGAGCCTATAGTTTGTTAAAACACCATGGGCCAGCTCCTCAGGTGTAAATCAACATAGCTCCAGTGAATTCAGACAGAGAGGTAGGGTCTGCATGCAACATCTCTTGAAGTCAATTTGCTGATTTACACCAGCTGAGAATCTGTCCCCATTTCTCCTAGTGCAGTCCAAATCCCAAACGCCAGGTGTTGCTCCAATGTATAGTATAGATCTAAGATGAAATGTTGCTAGTTCACACTACCATGTCTTCACTACTGTTACCTGGACTAGACTAACTAGATTAAAGCTATGCCTGCCCATTCCACAACTGCACCTTCACTTGCAGGGTAGATGCACCCTGCAATAAAACTCCCTTAGGCTCATTTTGAAAATTCCAGCCAAACGTTTTCCTCTACACAAAGGTGAAAGAGCACTAACTTTGGCTAGGTCTACACTATGGGGTGCGGGGGGTGTCGACCTAAGATATGCAACTTCAGCTACGCGAATAGCGTAGCTGAAGTTGTGTATTTTAGGTCGACATACCTGGCTGTGAGGACGGCGGCGAGTCGACTCCGCTTCTGACTCTTGCTGCGGTGGAGTTCCGGAGTCGACGACGGAGCAATTGGGGATCGATTTTATCACGTCTACACTAGACGCGATAAATCGATCCCCGATAGATTGATCGCTACCTGCCAATCCGGCGGGTAGTGAAGACATGCCCTTTGTGTGGTAAGGATTCCTGGTGGATGTCTCCTTCCGAGAGCCCAGCCCCATTGTGATATTTAGAGATTCCGTGATTTTTCAATGGTGCAGAAAATCTAACGTTTTGCTTGTAGTGTAGCTAAAATAAAAGCAACCACCTGGGAAAAGTTCTGTCTTTGATTAGTCTGACCAAGGGGAGTGAACAATTGTTTCAATGACAGTTGGTGAGACTGGGAGGAGAGTACTTCAGTGTTGGAAGGATGCATGTATATTCTGACATGTGACAGAGGTACCGTGAAAAGGACAGCAGATGTTTATTGACTAATCGTCTCACCCTTCACAGCAGATGGGAAATATAAGAAATGGATTGGAAAAGAAAACTTTGGCTCTGATCCTGCAATCACTTACACAACTGAGTAACTTTTCAAACCCCAGGAGGCCCATTGACTTCATGTGCAAAGGCCCCACTTTACTCACATAAATATGTATTTGCAAGAGCAAGACCTTTGATTATAGCAGAAGCGACACCCCCCCCCCCCCCCCCGGTGTCTGGAAAAAAATCAGATTTCCTCAGAATAACCTAAAGAATCTTTTATAAACTTAACAGGAAGGAATGTGCTCCAGGAATCTGTATAAAATTATTTATTTGTTATAACAAAAACTTGTTTAGTGAAGCATTCACTGAAAGCTAGTTTGTTTTTTTGTTTTTTTTTATGAAATACAAGACAGAAGGACAACTGTAGCAATGCGGTGAGTCTTAAAATATTGTTACCCAGGAGGACTAAATTAACACCTGGAGCATACCAGGCTAAGTAGTGTAGAGTAAACTGAACTTTGTGTTAGACAATGATGTTTTGCATAGTTCATAGGCAGTTAGCTGATTTGGATACCTGTACGTATGTACATATATATAAAACCATCATCTCCATTAACTGTAGCAGATGTCGTAGTTTCTATCCCGTCTAAAGAAGTCATCTGCCATTGTCACGGTGCCAGGACAGTCCATACAGTCTGCACTTGGGTAGGGGAAATACTCTGATACTCTGAATGTATCCAAGTGCTCTGAGGCACAGGATGAGCAGTAACAGGCCGAGGGGGAGCAGCTGTACTGCGGATGGGAGCACTCCTCTAGAGGATAGCCGTAGTTCGTGGTGTCTAGAGGAGAAAGAGGGCTGTAGTTCAGTGGAGGAAAAGGAGGCAGCTGAGGTGGGGAGTAGCTATAGTCTAATGGGCTGGATAGGTCAGACGAGGCAGGAGATCCAGGAATCTATAAAAATGGAGAGAAAAGAAAATGTGGTGTTAAATGAAGTCAGTAATAATGGGCATTCAAATAATTACACAGACCAGAAAAAATACACCCGTAATTACAAGGCCCTGAATGCACAACCACATCACACCCCATTCTGGAGTTACCCTGGTCCATTGATAGTGCCGGAGTTTTGAAATCAATGGGCTTCACAAAGCGGCTGTGAACTCATCAAGATGTCAGAATTGTGTGTGTGGTTCTTCTGGAAGCATTGCCCTGATCCCGCAGTGAGCTCTGTGCAGAAGGACCTCTGCACCCACCCCGAGTCCCAGTGACTTCGGTGAATTTCTGTGCTGACAGAGGGGTCCATCTGGATACAAGTCACTGCAGGATCAGTGCCTTAGTGCTCAACAAGGGAGCATGCT